GGAAAGTTTCGGATTTTCGTTCTTGAAAGCCGAAACGTTTCGACCTTAAGATTTTGGTTTCGCCCACAACTTTAGTTCGACGGCTTCTTCCTTTTTTACTTATTTTAGGCGTAATTTCTCTCATATATGTACATTCCTTATATATACTTAGATTATTTTTGGAAAATTCTAATATAACATCAGTTTTGAATTTTTATGAAAATTCTCTCTTGTTTGTTTTAGTGGCTACTTTATCGTTCTTCACAAGCATCTATTTAATGAATTTATTCACCAATTTATCGAGGAACCCCATTGAATCAGAAGAACTGGTGTCAAAATTTTACCTTCAAAAGGCTGAGATGTTGGCTAGGATCGAACTTTTTTATTTATTGCCTAATCAAAGAAGATGGATTTCGTGGTTTCCCGAGTGGATGTAAGCAAACTAATACGAATTTTTTGTATTAATTTTATTTAACTTATGATGTTAATTAGTTATTACATAGTTATTATAGGACTTGTAAAAGTGTGGAAGACATCGAAGCTCATGACACCGGTTCGATTAGCAATTTTAGTAATAAAAATAAAACGGACAAAAAAAGTAATGCACAATCTTTGGTTTTTAAGGATCAGAAAAGAAAGTCTACATTGGAAACAGATCAGGTGACTATTAAAGATGAAATTAGAAACATTGAAAAGTTAAAAAATGATATGGATGATGTTATTGTGAATTTGCTCGATAAGTTAGATAGGAGTGTTTTTATTTAGATGTAAATTATTTATATATATATTTAATGTTAAAAATTTTATTCAATAGAATTTTTTTTGGTTCGACATAGCCGACGGTCAATAAAAAAAAAATTACAGTTTAATAGAAATAAATATAATAATTAATTAATGTAATTTGATTTGTTCCAATCCCTTAATCAAATCTTCTATTTCCTTCCTGAACTTTTCCGGTGCTCCTTCATCACGTTCTTCAACACATTCCAACATTTTCTTTAATTTTTCAATAGAATCTCTTATGATTTTATGTAATGAACCATTTTCATTAAATTTTCTCGCAAGTTCTCTTAATTCTGCCAAAGTTCCTTCTTTGATATCTTCAGAACCTAACATACCAATCTCTTCTAATAATTGGTTATTTAAAAATGGTTCGTCTTGATCGTACCATTCTCCATCCTTTACATTTTTAACCATTCTCCGAAGCTCCTTCTTAGTAATTCTGTAAAAACTGGATAGTCGATAACAAATAATTTAGTAATATTTAAAAAACAATTATAAAAAGAAAAGAATTTTTTTTTTAATACTTTACATCCAATCAGGAAACCAAGAAATCCATCTTCTCTGATTGGGAAATAGATAAAAAAGTTCGATTTCGGCTAATACCTCGGCTCTTTGCCGGTAAAAGTTTGCCTCGGTGTTCTCTAATTCGATCGCATTACTTAACAAACCAATGAATAAATTCATCAAGTAAACGCTTGTAAAGAATGAAAATGTAACCATTAAAATGATCAAAAGATAATTTTCACGTAAACTCCGATTCGAAAATGCTCCGGAATCACCTAAAACATTTTTAAAAAATATCAAATTATCAATGACGTGACCAAGAAATAATAAAATACAGGCAAATTGTTTATTGATAATTACCTGTAAGATAAAAATATATGGCCAAAACTGTGGTATCGAACCAAGTGAACATATTTGTATTCGAATCAGGTGGTAGAATCATTAAAGGTGTTTCGCTAACGACATCGTTCTCAATAGAATAAAAGCGAGGTACAAGGTTCCATGGATTATTTGAGTCATTATTATCAACAAATTTATCTAATGATACGTTAGAATCGGGTCTTAATAGAATATGCAAAGAATGTGCGTATGTAAGGACGATCCCTCCTAAAATAAGTAAAAAAGGAAAAACTCGTCGAGCAACTCCTAGGATAATTTGAAAATACACCCCAAATAGTTTAATGGGTCTAAAGTAAAGTATGAATTTGATTTCTAATAATAAGTTCGAAGATATGACAAGCCCGGTTGAACTTTGGCCATCTTTAAGCCAAAGCATTGAAGTAATAATTGGAAGTATGTAAGCTCCTAAATCTAGAACGTGTTTATTTATTAATGTGTCAAATGAATGATAAAGCCAATTAACTCATTCTACTTACCGAAAATATTCCATATATGAAATATGTATATTAAAGGAGCCCAGATAAATTCTCTGATTTCAAAATATAATTGAATGAATCCAAATACAATAGAAATTTGTAATAACATTTTTTGGGTGTTGAAATCGATTGCATCTTGTGATACGCTGGCAGCGACGGTGAAGCAACCAAAAAACACGGAGTATATCATCCACATGAGCAAGTAATAATGTATCCCAAAAACATACCATTTATAGTCAATGAGAGCTTGAATATCGATTCTCTTGTAAAAATCAAAACTTTTCCTTTTAATAATTTCATCTATAAAAAGGGTTGAAGGTGGCCTAATCAAAAGCTCTGACCAATAACTATACTTTGGGGGATATTTACTTAATATTCCTATTGAGCTCATTAAATTTATATAAGGAGAGAACCACATCTTTTCAAAAAAATTTGAAAAAAATTGAAATTTATATAAATAGTTCATTATTAACATGTTATAATGAAAAATTTTCATGGGGTAAAGATTTGAAAAGACTATATTATAACTCTTCACATACGGTAAAAGATCTGAGTAAATAGGAATCGAAGGATCCTGACGTTGATCTAAAAAAATTGGTACCGTTGATATGATCTTCTTTAAATATAAGGATAAAAATGATTTATTGGTTTTAGGATCTTGCAATTTTTTAATAAGTAAATATAAGAATCCAACATTTATAAAGGGACTCTCATTATAGGTTTCCAAGTACTTGTCCAAAACTGAAACGGCTTTATACTTTTCATCTATCTCGTTAGCCTCGACATCAAATGATTCCAAAATTTCCTTTGAATATATTCTAAGTATTTTTTTATCATTTATATATGATTTATATAAGTCAACAAATGGAAAATATTTTCCATTGGTCGTTTGTATTGATTCCTTTGATTTGAAAATATGCTTAAAATTTGGTGGTTTAAGAAACAATTCATAGGAATCATTACAAGAAATCATTGATTCATAATTAAAAAGATTGTTACGAAGCCACAAAGGATTTTCCGAATAATATTTCATTTTTATGCCATTATCAGCCGATTCATAAGTCCATATGATGATTCCACGGTTACAGACCATTACCAAATCATCATCCAAAATTTCGCAAATAAATACGACATAAGGAAAATTGATGAATTTGTAAATGGGTTTATTATCAAATTGAAGAATTTCAACTGTTCTATAGCTCAATTTCCAAACATAATTCTTTCCGTATAACATTTGCTCTGATGGTGACGGTGATCTATACAAGTCATTGTGCTTTGATATTAAAGCTATTAACGCATTGTTTATCACGGAGGACATTGGATATTTCGATGGATCGGTGAGCAAATGTTCAACTTTGTCATAATCAAAATCTTTGATCAATAGATTCTTCCCATTAAAGGTTATGATTTTCATGACTTCATTTTCTTCTTTTTCCCTCCGTTCTACCAACTCTTTATCGATTTCCAAACTTCCCGTAATACTTAATATTACTAACTCACTCTCACACTTTCTTTTCTTCCTCACCATTTCCTCATAAAAAAAAATTGGTTTATCAATCTCTGCAAATAAATGCCCAATATCTATGTTCTCAGTTAGAGAATATGGGTTCATTAATACGTATTCATCATGATTATCGATAAAATCTTTGATCGAAATTAATAACCATAATTTTTTTCTTACATTAAGAAAATTAATATAAGTGATCACGTTTTCCATTTTATATTGTGAAATCATAACTCTCGTTTCTCCTGAATATACACAAATCTTATACGTATCCTCATCTTTAACAGGTCCATATATTACCAATAAAGATTCATTGATCAAGTATTTGATTTCAGAAAATCTTAAATCAACATCTAAAGGGTATTGATTTTCTAATTTGTTTTCCAAAGAAAGGTTCCATTGTGATAGGATTCTCGTGTCCTTATAAGTCAAAAACAATTTATCGAATAATAAATCATCTAGACGAATTCTAGAAAAAAAAACTGATGCCAACCTATAAATTTTGAACGTAGACTTGCGTTTGTAATTTTCAGGATGGACCTCATAAAGAGAGAATACATAATTATCTTCTGGATCCTGCTTATAACTTAGATAATCACCGGTTATAAGATAACATCCACCTAACGAAAAATCCCCTTTTATAACCGGTTCAATTATTTTTTCGTTATTTTCATTTCCGTAAAAATATTTGATACCGTTCAAATCGATAAACGCTAAAAAAAAAAAAAAGGCACGGGAAATTTAAATAGGTAAATGCCTCGAACTATGTATTCTAATATACTTACCGTTATAATTTATTCCCTCACGTTCCCAAAAAATTGAAACGTGTTTGCTATCAGAAATAGAAATGATTTTATAATTCTTTTTTGCTTTCAAATTAGCTTTGTAATATACTTCTGGTTCCAACTTGTCCAGTTTATTATTTAACCATCCAACGATTGAATGATCGATTTGATTCCACGTGACGATATATTCCATTTTCGGTGAATAAAATATTTTGCATATATTTTCGGTTTCAAACTTTCTATAATCAATATCAATAATATGAGACATCTTATTTTAATTATTATTATTATTTTATAATTGACAATAAATAATTGATTCATTCTTAAAATCTGCTAAATATATATACAGTAAGCCAGATCTTTAATCGGTTAAATTCATTTTGTAATTCATAACCGGTTTTTAACCTGTTTGATGATTGAATCAAAATGGGCTGATGAGATATCAGCCCACTTTCACTGCATTGTTATAGGTCGAAAAATAACAATTAAAACCATATGAACGATAATGCACTCTATAAAAACTTAAAAGCCCCAAAGATTTCAATTGAATAATTTTAATATCCAAAGTCAGAAAACAAGCTCATTATAACGACAACAATTAATCTTAACCTAACTTGTTTTATCCATGAAAAATAACGATTTACAGAATTTCATTCTCTGATAAAGTAAATAAAAATCAGTGCACTGCAGTAAGATTTAAACACGAAGACTTCACGTGCGACATATGACAAATCGGCACGTAATCCAGACCAGAATTGATAAATTGATTTATTATTTTATTTTTTATACAATTACCGGAAATTTATATTTCGTTCGATAGATTGCAACGGGTTAGTATTAAATCTAATTTTATATTTGGTTGTGTTTTTAAACCGGTTTCGAAAATAAATCCTTCATTGTAATGCTAATATAAATAAATTGCATTCTATCAATACCTGGCCGATCATTTAATCAGCTTATCTGAAATTTGAATATACAGGGGGGGTATAAAAAGTATTGGCCACCCAACGTGATACAAGTGAGGCGCCCCCTTCCAAATTAAGCCGCAGTTTTTTTTATTTTAAGTTACACGTGATTGTTATGTAAATGATCAAAATAAAAAAATCGGGCATCCTTAACCTACACCGGAGGTATAGATGTTTAACCTGCGCTGGGGGTGTACAATAAGTTTTAACGAATTTTATTGGATGAAAATTGATTGTGTAATATTATATAATTTATACTATCTTTGTAAATAAAATTAATATTGTACAATAAACAATAAATTCTTGCTTGTATTTTTATATGAAATCTGAAGAGATGTGTGTTCCCGAACTAACAGCTTCAAATACATTTATAAATCATGATGATTTTATAGCACAAGTTCAAAATTTTGCAAATTTTTATAATTTTCAAATATGAAAAAATAAAGTAAAATGTGATAAAAATCATAATATTAAAAAAGAACTATATTATATTTACGTGCAGGTGTTTCTGAACAAAAAAAAAGAAAAAAATCATCAAAGAGATCGTCATTCTCAAAGATATAATTGTCCTTTTATGATTAGAGAATCATTTAATTTACAAATCAGTCTTTGGCATATTTGGCTATAAATTTGAAACATAATCATTAAATGATAATTCTTGAGCATAAAAAATTTTTAAATAATCAAAGAATAATTTCACAAGAAATTAAAGATCAAATTAAAATTTATCATAAAGCAGGTTGTAATGTATCAACTATCAAATCTATTCTTAAACAAGAATATCAAGAATTAGAAATATGGATTTATAATGATATTTATAACTATATATATCAATTAGATAATAATTATATAGTCATTTTTTTGAAGTAGATGAATTTATTAATACTTTAAAGCAATTCAAAAGAGAAATTAATGGATTTGAATATGAATCAAAGTTGATGAAAGTTCAAATGAATTACTTCAAGTAATTTGAATGTATTTAGAACAGAAACGACAATATTGTAGATTTTTAAATGTAATTGTTTTTGATAATACATAAAAAGTTAATCGATTTAATATACCATTTGGAATTTTTACAGGAGTAAACAATTTTGGTCAAAGTATATGTTTTGCTGAAACTTTAATGTATCAAGAAACAATTAATAGTTTTATATAGACATTTAAATCATTTCTTAAAATGGTTAATAATAATCCATCAAAAGTAATACTTACAGATGAAGATAAAGTAATTTCTCAAGCTATACAAAATGTTTTTGGTCAAAATAGTAAACATGTATTATGTATATGGCATCTTTGAAAAATGTAATCAAAAATTTATGTAGTATATTAGGAGCAAATTGGCATAATTTTACAAAAGCATTTTATGAATGTATAAAAGAATATGAAGTTGATAATTTTATAATCAAATGGCAACAATTTCAAATAGACTTTTCAGATTGTAAAATATATTTAGAAAGAATGGATAAAGTAAAAGAAAAATGGGTGCCTTGTTTTAATAGAAATATATTTTTAGCAGATATGATAAGTACACAGTGCAGAGAATCAATGAATAGTCTTATAAAAAATTATATAAATGCAACCAATTCACTTTTGGATTTTTTAAAAGCTTTTTAATCTACACTAGAACAATATGATATTGATTTACAATTATTTAAATATTGACAAAATCAATTTAATGTTATTTTAAAAACAATGAGTCCATTTGAATATCATGCAAACATACAACTTTTTCTGGAATTATATATCAGTATATATTTTGTGTAGCAACATAAATGAATTTAAATAAATTTTCAAATTCACTATTTTATTAACATTGGCAAAAAGATCCAAATAATCTTGTTTTAACATAACAATATAATTTGTTTTATGATAATGATATAACAAAACATTTGGGTTCCTCAGAAATAGAAAATTTTGAAGACTATGAATATTTGTTGGCAAAAACTTTTTATGAAATAAAAAGTTTAATAAAAAAGTATCCAGAATTATCCAAAGAATTTTATTTTACAAATAACATTTTGTTGGAAAATAAATTAAAAATTATTCATCAAACTTGTCAAATAAAAGATAATACTTTATAATGTATAATCAATAATCCTAAAAAAAAAGTATTTATAATTGATATTTTTTAGTTTATTAATATTATAATATATTATTTTATTAATTTTAAAAAATTTTAATTAAAGGAAAAAAAATTCAACAAAAAATTTATCAAATAAAAAGCAAAAAAAATTCAATTGCTAGTGGTAGTGGTAGTGGTTTATTGTACAAGAAAAAGAAAATATTACAAATTATCGAAAGGATGATCATACATATGAAGTATTTTAAAATTTACCACAGATATCTATAACTGAATTAATGAATATGGAAATAGATGATATAAATGCTAAAAATAAAAAAAAGGTATATTTATTTTATAAAACTTATGAATTTTAAATATAATGATATTAATAATTCTTTTTTTAATACTTTTAGATGAATTATCATGTCATTTTTGTAATCAACCTTTACTTAATTCTTTACTGAAAAAATTACTTAAATATTTAAAAATATTGTAAAAAAAAGTAAATTTTATATTTAATTTATTTCTATAATAATAATATTAATTATATTAAAATATTTTGATTTCTTTAGAAAAAATATTAGAAGTCAATCGTGCAAAGTTTTGTTTTATGCATTATGCAGAACAAAAATTATTCCATTAGTATAGAGGCAAGTTATCCAACAAATATCAATTTTGAAATTTTATCAAATCAGATTAGTAATATTCAAGATGATTTGTTAGATATTATTAATTGTAAATTAGCAAGTTAGTTTCGCAATTTTTCATTATCTGTTTATAATGAAATTAGATTTCGAAAAGCAAATACACCAATGATGATAATGAAAAGAAGTGAAGAATTAAGAGTAAAATTTAATTTATAAATATATTTTTTATAATATATTTTAATATATTTGTTTATTAAATTTATATTTATTTTTTATTTTTACAGCCAGGATATTATGGTTCTAAAGGTGAAATAATCATCACAGAAGTTTTAACAAATTTGTTTTTAAAACAAATATTTTAACATTTGAAATAAGCAAACCTTTAAAACCAATTGATTATATATATTGTTAGACCTAGAATCGTCTCAAACTAAGCTAACAAAACTAATAAACTTAACGACACAATTATCTCAAAGGCTTTTCCTAAGAGAAATTAACGATAAACGAATAAAACAATTTATTATCATGATTCACTTGTATAGTAAGTTATCACGATCAATCCTATAATAAAGACAAGAAGAAAGTTGAAAGTGTAAAATAGTAACTTTATTAACTGTAGAGTTATAAGTCTAATCTCAAGACTTATCTCAATTTCTGAGCAAAACTCTGTTGATTTAAGGTCAACTTACAGGTCTATTTATATAAAATTGTTAACTAATACTATACTATGCCTTTCAATAAGTACATATAATGAAAATAATATAAGTAATGAAAATAAGATTATATAATATTTATATTAAAAGGTAAACTATTCGATACATATAATATAAAGTCGACTAAATGATACATGTATTATATGTTTAACATATATGATATTTGGCGCAGTTGACGATCATTTTAAGATACAATACAAACTGCGGCTAACAATTCTTCCCTCTTAATTTTTGAACTCTGAGAGAAATTCATCAGTTTCTTCCTCATTTCTGATAGAAAGTTAGTAAGCATAATTAACTAAAGCTCTAAACTCAGAAGCTTTGAGTTATCATATAGTTGAAAAATTAATAATTTGAGTCTGTTGGATTTGTTCTACTCCTAGAAACTCAAATAAATAATAAATCCTGGTAACTCCTAGTCAATAGTAAATAGTTACCATATTTCGCAACATCATTCTTTCAGAAGGATTAGTTGATTCAGTTTCCAAGAGTTGTCCTAGATAATAAGCATTTACAAGGATAAGTATATGATTCCTTATCCTACATGTTCTTAGTAATGCTCGATATGTACTTTGAACTTTTTGCTGTAAAGTCATATTATTATTAAAGGGTGCTCTTAAAGGAATTTCAAGAGAAGAATCTCATTCTAAATCTGTACATAAAGGTTGTAGTCGGTGAGAATTGATAATTTCAGACATTGTAAAAGATTTACTTTACATTTTCCATGTATCGAAAGGATATATATATATAAAAAAAAAATAAAATAACTAATTTAATCTCCATGATAAACTTTTAATAGCTGTACATTTACTAGTATACACAAAACTCGTCCTTCCATCTCGCATAACTTATATGATCCATTTATCAAAATTTCATGGATA